CACTCTGCCTCCCAGAAATATGCTGCACGCGTTCCTGGGAGCCCCTCATGCAAGGCCAGGTAAGGACACCCGGAGGGGTTTTAATGGGTGCAAGCCCCACATAACCCCGGGTTCTCCCCCGAGACCCGGGGTATGCGTTAGGCATTTCCCCTCCGTTATCAAAAAAAAAAAAAAAAAAAATGTGCCCACTCTGCGTACATTGAAACTATTAAGTGCTCCATATAAGACTGTGAAAAAGATATGACCACGAGCGAGTGGAACGCGAACTGCTGGAGCAGTGTTGCCAGGTCGCTACACTGGTGAAGTATTTCGCATGGCTGCCAATGCAAGTACATCGAGCAGCTTGAAGAACTTTGTCGTACTATCCGAGCCTCGCCGTTCGACACAGACAATCCGCGATGGCGAGGATTGCGTGACTCGCGGATGCAAAGTTGCAATTGTTTCGTGAACGTTGGTGGCGAGTACGCGAATAGCAACGAAAGATCTCTTGTCTGGCGAGAGATCGACGCCGCATTCGAGAGTCGATATTGACAGGTGCGGTGATAAACTCTAATCACATCGAGCCGCGTCGGTTTTTAAAAGACGCTAACAATGTAGTGCTCGAGCGAGTGCGAAACACTATAGAAAGACACGGTAAAAGTGTAAAAGTGAACACCGCGTTCAACGACGAGTTCGCGACAAAAGATAGACGTGCTAATAAGAGCATAACAAAAAACAATGAGTATATCGATGCACCGATATGCGCAAATGATACGATCGGCACGTCGTCGAGCCTATCTTAGCTTCGCTCGAGTTGTGACAATGGGTGGGCATTGTTGCAAACTTGACTGTTAACGTGAAACAAACTAAATCTCCTGCGCGTGGGATGTCACATCGAAGTGCCACGGAAAATAGCGACAAAACGAGCGGTGATCAGTGTTCGTTCGACAGACAATGCGTGCTTCGCGTGGTCACAATTGCCGCTCTGTACTCCGCAGAAAGAAATGCAGATCGGGAATCATCATATCCGCATTACACTACAGTATTAAATTTCGCGGGTATCAAATTTCCAATGACATTAAAAGACATTTCTAAATTTGAACAATTGAACGCGGTGTCAATCAATGTATGTAGGTATTGAAAATGGACAGGTCCTTCCTCTACGGCTCACCGATGACAAGAAGGAGAAGCATGTCAACATGCTGTACGTACAAGATCCACGCAACGACAATCTCGGCCACTTTGCATGAATCAAGAACCTGTTGTTTCTTGTGATTACTGGGAAAAAGAGTAAGAAATATTTTTGCGACCGGCAAGTATAAGAAAAACCAATAAAAAACAGTAAAAACAAATAGCGAAAAATGATTTCTCTATTTATTTACAGGTGCCTCCATTACTTCAGCTCGTGCGAAAAATTGCAGTCGCACGAAATGGGCTGCCAGAAGATCAATGATTGCGCCATTCGACTGCCGAGCGAGGACGACAGGTGGCTCGAATTCGACAACTATAACAACGAGAACGAGTACCGTACATCGTTTACGCTGACTTGGAGTACGTTTCACGCAAGACGGAATCCAATAGGGAAGAACCCAACGCGTTATACGCATATCAATAGCACGAAATGTTTAGCATGGGCTATTACGTGCGATGCGCGTATGACACATTATCGTCATATCACTTCCGTCGCGATGAAGACTGTATAGCGTAGTTCGCACGATAACTTAACGATTTGGCGTATCGCGTAAAAAATATCATATCCGCCAACGTGCCCATGAAAATGTTATCTAAATAGCAATGGGAGGCGTATCGTAGCGCGACGCGTTGTCACATCTGCGAGAAATCGGACAATACGTGGATCCGCGATCATTGTCATCTCACCGCGGTCCAGCGTATTCGAATTGTAACTTAAATTATAAAAATTCGTTTTATATTTTGATCGTATTTCATAATTTATCGTATTTCGGCCTACGACGTACATTTTATAATTAAGGAAATTGCTATCGCGTACGATGGACATCGCGTAGATATGTACTATCGATAACCAAAGAAAAATATATTTTGTTCACTAAACATGTCGATAGCACCAAAGACAAAAATGAAAAGAATTTTCAGAAAAATTGCGTAAAATTAATGTTCATTGATTCTTTCAAATTTCTAAGTACAAGCCCAATAAATTGGCATCGTATCTCGACAAAGATAAATAAAAAAAGTTGTATATTCCAAATTTCCAATATTATCAGACGAAGAATTTGAATTACTTACACGAAAAGATGTCTTTCCGAACGAGTACATTGACTGCGTCGAAAAATTGCAGGACAAATTATTTTTCAGTTCGTTGACAGGTGATACAGTATCCGAGAACGATTATGCTCACGCCGTAAATGTATGTACAGCGAACGTTCTCTATACAAACGTTCTGCGAGTACAGTGATCTGTACTTGAAAACTGATGTCTTGTTATTAGCCGACATTTTCGAAAATTTCCGCAATAGTTGCGTCGCGAGTTACTGTCTCGATCCCGTGCATTATTAGACACTGCCAGGTTTCACGTGGGACGCCATGTTGAAACATACGCGCGTAAGATTCGAATTGCTCACCGACATTGATATGGTCATGTTCATCGAACATGATATACGCGACAACCTCAGTCAATATTCCGGCAAATACGCGCTAATAATAAGTACATGTGTTCGTTCGATTCATCGAAACCATTGTCGTACCTTATATACTACGATGTGAATAATCTGTACGGATGTGTCAATCTTGGCCATACGCTGAATTTCGATGGATCGAAGACTCTGCGAACTTTGACCTCCTCATTATCCAGTACTATCATCTTCGAACGTTGCATGTCGGTTTTCAATTAACGCGTCATTGCGACACGAATTTTGGATTCTCCAAGCCCACGCCACCGTTCAATTCGTTCTTTATAAGTGCATACCATGCACGCGTGAACGCGCCGCCCTGCCCGTTGAACTCATAAGCAACTTCCCGGCTGCGAGAGTCAACCGAACTGCTCGCGCCTTTGTCCGGCGTTGATTACGCAGATCCGATCGCTGTCCGAACGATTCCTGGTCGAGGGCATAAATCACAAAAGGCCTATCGCTTTATTCGTATGCCTCACGACCAAAACTCTACACTTAGAGCTAGTCAGCGACTATACCTTCCTACTTTTATCGCAGCGTATCAACGATTTGTTTCTCGCCGACGTCCATATATTTCGATAACGGAACCATCGTTTCATGACGCCGATCGTGAATTGTCCAATGCACATGCAAAAGCAATTCGCGATCCTAACTTCCGAAACTCGCTACAGACGGAACTGCGTAGCACTTCCTACTCCCTGCGTCGCTGCACTTTGGGAGGCCGGCGTTAAAAGTGTCAAGCATCATTTAAAACGATGCATCGGCCTCCACGCTAACTTTTGAAGAGATGTCCACGCTCCTCTATCGGATCGAGGTGTGTCTTAATTCACGCCCGATCGCTCTCGTTTCCGATAATCTCAATGGTTGTCACACTCTGACCCCCAGTCATTTTTAGTCGGAATCTCTCTTATCGCTCCTGTTGAATCAAGCGTGCTTGACTTAAACGAACAGACTTTCGTGTTGACCAATGGTTCAACAAATAATCGAAAGTTTTTGGAGATCTTGGTCTGGTGATTACTTGCATACCCTTCAACAACGTCCAAAATAATACGTTGTCCAGCGACTGGCCAAAGTTGACCAAGTGCATTAACTCCATGGAGCCAAACTTGGTCGAATCACGGCGTTTCATCCCGGTTATGACGATAACTCGCGTCGTGACTATAAAAACAGGTCGTTCCGAGTACCGACGACCAATTGTAAAACTTTGTTTTTTATCCGTCACGATCAATACCGAAGAGTAAAAATTTCGTCACGGAGAGCGGAGTTTCCATTGCACGTACCTGATGTTACCGGTATCGCGAACCGTAAGCTTCGACTGTATTACGTTCCGATCTTTGTATTCTGTATTGAATCATTATCGCTGTTATATCATTATTGTATCTGGCGTGCTTTGATGCGGATTATTTTGAATACCTACATTCAAGGCAGACGGTATGTTGCGGAATGATCGTTAATTTGAATATCTTCTCGGCGATGATAAGCAAACAGCTATAGACACCGAGCCGTTACCGTTCAAAATATATGGATATCTCGCTCCTGCTCTAATCACGCTATCTATCTCAGATGGCACGCGAATCTCTTTGCGCGACACTCGAAAAGTTGACGATCGCGCACACGTTCCGCATGTGAACGTTCAGTTCGTTTCCCGATCACGATCAATACGGATCATTTGTCGATAGTCATTCGTAACGCTTCTTAATCCGAACCTGAAGAGCGAACCACCGAAGTTTCCATCGCGTATTACTGCTGCATTTTGTTATCTAACATTTTCGGTATACGCATACCACGAGATCAGTGCATGAGAATTACATGAATCTCTGACAAGGTTTGCCAGTCTCATTGCTGCTCGCAATACACTTTCTTTCGAACGGCTGTAAGAAATTACTCGACGTCGTACCAAGTGCGAATTACCTGTGCACGCATCAAATCGAATGCATCAAGTCTCGACTTATAAGTATCGCCCGATTCGAACAAATCTTAATTCGAGTCAACAAAAATTCCGAATTGTTACAACAAAGAGAGTCGTCGTTATTAACACGCAGCCTTGGCGAGCGAGCTTCATACAAGGTGACATCAGCTTCACAAACACATAAACACATATCTTATGTTTTTAACATTTATATACGTATTATATACTGCTAGTATTTTAATTTACATGCCATTTATGTATGCCATGTTTTTATCATTTATACATATTACTATTTTGTATACTCTAAAATGAAGATGATGAATGGGGAATAATAAAAATATAAGTTTATATACTTATATTGATATACATTTTTATATGTAGAAAAAATTAACGAATCAAAATTGTATCAAATGATATTGTATCAAATGATATTTTTATGTATCCATAAATTGTGCGATCCATCGAATCCTAGCCTACTTGACGTACACCTTGTCTCCTTTCTTGAGCAGTATTTTCTTTACAAGATACACATCCGGATGAGTAGCGATGCAACTCATGCTCGTAGAACGCTCCAGCAACGGATTTTTCGCGACAGTCCTCGAGTAGATAGATTACGGAATTGGTACGTTGCACTTTATGGTACGTAAACACCTCGATCCAATTTGGCGTGTAACTCTTCTCAAAAACTGTCTTGTTCACGAGTACCGAATCGCCCACTTTGAATTTTGCCGGACCAGCGATTTTTATCGCGCTGTACACCGTGTTCAAGAGTCTTTTGGCGATCGCGGGAGTTATGTCGGCGGATCGCATGCCGATAGTGCGATGCTTGCGCGCGTTGTAATCTGATACGAGACGCGGCAACTCGTCGACCCATTTGTAATTGCCATTGAGTGTAAACATTTTCTACATGCGTGCGATTGAACCGCTAAAAACTTTCAACGTCGAATGCATGGAATAATGATTAACGTCGTGTTTTTTCAAGATTTTTTGCACATCGGCATTATAAAACTTCTTCCTCATATCCGTTTGTAAATTTTTAGAACATCTTTCACTCGCTCGAATTATCTCAGCGATAGCATCAGCCGTGCATCTTGCTTCCACCCTTGCTCTTGAGCGATACGGCCCACGCGCTCAATACATCGATGACGGTGAGTATGTAATAGTGGTCTCTGTTGAAGCTCAAGTATGGACGTATCTCTCTCAAATTTCTTCTTCTGTTTCTTGGGTGTGATCGATATCAACGGTGCAATTACGTATTTGTACTTGTATCCCCTGTTGCTCAATAATTGGCCCTGCGAATGATGTTTGTGTTTGTGCGCGTTTGTCACCAACAGCATGCTCTTGTACTTGTTCATATCGTCTTCCGTGTAGAGGAGATCGTCGGGAATACTCTTGAAAATTAACTCGTAAAAACCAGGTGTATCGTGCGCCGTCGATAATTATGTTATCCGCATCATCCACGTCGAAACGTTTATTGTCAAACATCAATCCATCCCTGTGTAGGTAAACGCTGTACACATAATCTATACCCTTTTGTTTATCTCGCGCTCCTCTCAGGACAGCGTCGACATACTTTTGACCCAGCGAGACCAAGCGGCTCGTCTTGGCCTCTCAACCTTCCAACGTTTGCAGCTGATTTTAGACCTTTTGACCTTCGTCGCTAGCGAGTCGTCCGTCGTTTCGAAAACGTTCTCCAACGTCTCTATCGTCAGTACGATCGTTGCACGCGGAATGGAGGTTGCCAGCTATACACGATCGTGCGATCGATCATCGGATTTACACGAAATCGCGGAACGCTCGAACGTCTCTCGTTCGCTTTCTCTGCCTCTTTCTCCTCTTCCTCTTCCTTCTTTTTCTCCTTCCTCTCACGTTTGGGGGCAGACGCTGCGTCATCGTCGCGCGATTGTCTCTTTATCGCGCGCACGCCGGTCAACGATCTGTAGCAGCGGTTTGATAATAGGCTTAAAATGCCTGTCCAATGCCATGTCTCGATTCTACCGGTCTTCAGAGCACGATGTTTCTTGCGGATCGACTCATTCGTCTTTTCGATCTCTCTCGCGATTTTTTCAAGCTCGCGCACATCAGCCATGTTCGTCTCTGGCGAAGTATCGACAATTGTTCACATTACCATGTTGCAAACTCGTTAAATACTTTTCTGTATCTCCCGTCTTTAAGCGCAATGTCTATCATTAAAAAGCCATATTTTTGTTGCCAACAATCGCGGCGTCTTACGCGTGTACGGCGTCTACATCACGTCTGGAACAAGTTTTCGAAACACGTGAAGGCAGATTCGGAGGTTCGAGCCTATCTTCGCTGCTCACTACAATCAGCTCTAGCAGAGAACGCACATCGATGATCCCGCGCCGAAGATAAAGGACTGTAGCGAATGTCGACGTCGCGCGGCGGTCTGCTGAAACGCGCTTCCTTTCCAGTTACATATTCCGGGCTATCAGTTTTGCGGTCCGGGCACTCGGCTTATGAAGCGATTAGCGAGAGATGACGCGGGCATAAATCCGCGGCGTGCCGAGAATATCACATTACGAATTCTCGGAGCAACAATCTCATCAATAGATGTACGGACAAGGTACTCGCCAATAAAGCTAGAACGCATTGTCGCGAGAAATTTAGCTCTGAGCGAGAGAGCCACCGCTGCTGCCTGAGCAACGATGAAAGCCAAGACCAAGATGGCATGAATCAAAAAAGACGATGAGAAAAAAAGTCGAAAAACCGAATACTTCCAACAGCGAACCGAGTGCGTTATCGTTTCTGCCAATGTTAGGCGCACTCGGATCCTTGATCGATAGAGCGACCAGCGTGGCAAAAGCGATAAACGACAGCGATAAAGCCGCGCGACGTCAGCTCAAAGAGTTGCAATGTACGACCGCGCGATGAAACAGGGCCGCGGACTGTATCTTGCTCCGTACGAATGCAGACTGTATCTCAGCCCGTATAAACGCGGACAGGCGTAGCTGCAAGAAAAGAAGAAAAAACGCCAAAGAGACGATAAAAATGCCGTCTGGTGCAACTACCAATGTGCAATTAAACGAGCTCGCGAAACGTATGCGCGTATCATACTTACAGGCGTTTTCATGCGTAACACGTTACCGAGCGGCGCGCGCCGAAACGAAAGCGGTATCGTGAATCTGAACGATGCGACGGGGCCTGGTACTTACTGGGTAGCGTAGAGAAACAACCACGTCATGTATTTTGACAATTTCGATAATCTTCGACTGCCCAAGGAACTGATGCGATATTTCGTGAACAGTGCTACGACAATAGAGTACAATCGCACGTCCTATCAAACGTACAATCAAAGCTTCTGCGGATAGATGTGTCTGCGGTTTCTACAAACGATAGATGCGCGTGAATTTAAAAAGCTCAACGAGTGCTGTGAAATATTATTAGGTGTTGGAATTAATTCGTAGCGTTTTACAAGTGATGGGAAGTACTTTCATTAATGTATTTTTTAATGCTCATGTGAAATAAATAACATTCTTTCATTAAAAACACTACGAATTAATTCCAACACCTAATAGTATTAGTCGAATGCTTTTTCTATCATGTCGCTGACGCTTACGCTGAGCGGGAAGAGCACGTCTTCGCGGCGAACTATTTTCCCGTCATAGATTTGAGTGACAGAGATTACAAGCTTGGTCTGATTTTTGAGACTTATCACACGATACCGAACGTGAACGAATTGAACAACAAATTTTATTTCGCCAAAGACGATGTGGAAATTATAATTCCCGAGAGTTCGTAGTGCGAGACATATGAATTTTTGAAACGCGCGATTTTAAAAAAACGTCCACGCCGCGACGCGCTTGAAACCATTGACGTAGTGCGTGATGACAATAACAACAATGACACTGATGACAATGATGGCGAGGGTGGAGAATACCCGATTATGCTTCGCACAAACTATAACACGATTAGATGTGAGATTAGATGTGCATACAGAATAAACTTTAACAAGCCCAACAGCATTGAATCACTGCCAGGATTGTCATCGAAGCATATAGCGGCCGCGAAAATGGCACGAATTGGACGTGTCGATTAATATAATATTACGTAAACGTTATCTGCGTAGAGTGTAACGTGACCGCGGGCGCATACAGCAACGGCAAAAACGCGCACACGATACACGAATTTTCGCCGAGCATGTCGCCAGGATATAAGATATCGGAGAAGCCGGCAAATCATTTATTTGCCACTCATCGCACGGAACATTGCGGATCTAACGATGCGCATCATCGATCAGAATGGACTATTGTTTGATTTTCGAAGAGAAGAGATCATCGTTAGATTGCATGTACGACAACGACAGTGATAACGTAAGCGTGAGAGGCTCGTACTGAACGGAACGGAGTGCACACAGAGAGATAACGCATTTTTTACAAGGCCGGTGACGTCACAGCTCGATAACATTTGCTCATCCAGCTGTATCAGGAAGAAGAAGCTGAACGCGTCGAACGTTACATTTTTAAAGTCTTTGAGATTCGCAGTGCGCAACTTTTGAGATGATTGATATCCTCAACATTAAAGACGAGCCGATCTTCGTAAAAAGCCGATTGCATCGTCAAGATTGAGACTCACACGTACAACTTATTCGCCAAACGTTCAGATATAGCGACGAGATAAGAATATCCATACAGCAACAGGATCTGTACTGACACTGCCGTACGAAATTTTTATATGTCGAGGGAAAACTGACGAAGAACAAAGTGGTCCAGAATGCTCACGTAGCATTGGGAAATAATTGCGTCGCGTTCATATTCGATGAAATTCAATATGAACTTAACGGTGTGAAAATTGACCGTAACAGAAACGTGGGCATAACTAGCATGCTCAAAAATTATGTAACAGTGTCATCCGACAGAAGCGTGATTCTGCGGAATATCGGCTGCGCAGACTACTGCGGCCGGATACTTTAATTTCTGTGTATCGCTCTACGTACTGCTGGGATTTTACAAACGCGTGGTGATCAATGCTCTTCACGAGTTGATTTTAATATGATCGCGCAACAACAACATTTATCTGACGGAAGATCCGGCGATAGAGCCAACGTTCGAATTATTCGAAGTACAGTGTCGAATGCCGCATGTGTTATTGAGCGAGATAAATAAACTGTCGATGCTGCGCGAGAGCGGACGATATCTGAGTATGGCTTTTCGCTCGTGGGACCTGTATGAGTTTTCGCTCTTGCAGAGCACAACCAAGCATTCGTGAACCATCAAAACGGTTACTCAACTCGAGAAGCTGCGCTATGTCATTTTCGCTATGCAAACAGGTCGAAAAAACGTCATGCCCAAAAATATAAGTTGATTTAACGACTATAAATTAATCCATACGAAACTACCTAACCTCGGAATGTTATCCGTACGATGACTTAAATCTGGATTTTGATAAAAACAGATGCTCGATTCTGTACAACTTGTACGCGCGTTTCTGCAAGGGCAACTACGGATACGAGTATTTCGAGCCGAGTCTCACTCTTTACAACTTTTTTACGTAATGACCTGTTCGTGATCATCGATTGCTCTCGACAGAACGAATCGGTTAAGAGTGGCACCATGGACATGCGATTAGACTTCAAATGTAAGGAGAACGTGCCCGCAAATACAACAGCCTATTGTCTCATCACACACGATCGCATGGTTCAGTATAAACCATTGACCAATATTGTGCGCAAAATCACCTAAGTGCACCTCCGACACTACAAAACCTACGATACGCCGCAATCAACCGCAGTCTTCTCGATATGCCCCAATCAACGTTCATGGATCTGCAAGAATTCATCATTAACAAGAAATTTATCGTGAAGGAAGTGGCGGTGCTGAAATAGGAGACTGTTCTCACGCATTAAATTTTTACGAGTGCCATGGAAATTTTTGACAAGATCC